CAACATGGCGTACGCCGGCCACCTGATGAAATGCAAATATGGAAAGAACTGGCGGCCGGTCGGCCGGCCGCCAGGCACGTCCTCGGGCGTTCCGTTATGTCGGCCCGGTGAAACTCACACCTAGCTGCTCATTGCACCGCAGCAACGGCAAAGAGCAGGATCTGAATAAAGCCGCTGACTCGACCTCTGTCGCCTCGGGGAACACCGTGACATTTTAAGCGATGTAATTAAGCCTTATAATTAGTGAGGCGATGGTGGATGAAATATTGGCGTGGAGCTTGGTCGCGTGCTGTCTGCGTCATCTCGGAGGTCGTCTACTGCACGTCAGAAACAAGATGCTGAGAGCTGTAGCTCCACTCTGTCCAAGGGTTGTACCTCCTTGATACGCGCTCGGGTGGGGATGGGGTGATTTCACCCCTTCCTTAAAACTCACTGGGGGGGGGGGGGGTTAGTGGTTGGTGTGATTTGAATCCTTCCTTAATACAGGCTCGGGTGGGGGACCCCGCACTCAAGGTTTTCCAGAATGCGTTTTGAGCAGCTCGATGTGGCCGCGCTCAGTGATTTATCGCTTTACACAATTGAAAAATCGATCATTTGAATTAAAAGATGAAATGTATCCCGTAAGACTGCTGACCCAGGGCAGGTTAGAGTCAGGTCATGTCTGTCAGCGATGGCAGTTTCTTAGGACTTGTTGAATGCGATGTGATAACGGAATGTTAAACGAAGACAACTGATAGACAACTTTTTTAGAATGTTGTGCAACTTTTTTAGAATGTTGTGCAACTTTGAGAAGGTTGTCCAAGCATTTAGACGATTGAAGTCAACCCCTATGCCACTCCAGCCTGGCGCGTCGCATTCAACTGGCTAATGGTCACGTGTCATGCTTCAAGTGGTAAAAGCCATCCATCGTTCCTCCTCTGCACGCACCTACCGTATAGCTCGTAGTATAAATGACCTATGTCATGCTACTTGGATTTCGTTATTATTGTCAAAAACCAGGCACACAGCCTGAATTTTCCTCAGGGGGGGGGAAGCAACATTAATTTTTTCTTTGAACTGCGAAATTAGAACGAATTCCTGTGAAATCACCCAGTATCCGATACAAAATATTGGTTCCGGGGAGGGGCTGGGGATTGGGGACACTGCCCATCGCCCCCACTGGCCGTGTCCTTTTGTCAAAGCCTCATAAAACCGCCAAAACACCAAACTATTCATGAATAACAGACAGAATGCAAGGTACCTAGGCTGTATTGTTACTTCTCCCCATGGATCGCGCCAGAATGCCACTTTGATATGCAGCAGTACTTCAATGTTCCACCAATTATTTGTGGTTCATTGCAATTGCATGCCTCACGGCGGCAATCCTAAGCTGACCATGAGGTGTTATGTGCAGCCAGTGGTTTTGGGAGAGGAATTATGTCATGTTTTACAAGTAATATTTGTAACCACACCTGATTTAACGTCGCCTTTGTATGATTTGGACGTTGCGGCTTATGTACCGTTTATGGGTTCTCATGTATGGCATTGTCATGTCTTCAAAGCTTTTCCAGTCTGCACGCGGCTAGTACTAGAACTTGCTTGGCGCTGTTAAGCTTATCAAATGCTATGCTGTTCAGCCAACAGCATAGCATAGCCAACAGCAACCCGCTGACCCAACAGCCTTGTTCTGCCTATAAGGGGTCTCCATGGACAACGCCTGGAGGAGTCCTAGTCAAAAGGCCTTAATTCCAGAGAAATATTCTGACAGATGCGGAGTCGTGGGTTTCACGCAAGCAGACGGGCGTGGCAGCGATTGTCGTCAGCGTACCGCAGGTGTCGGGGTAATCATAAGCCCAGTTTCAGCTGCCTGCCCTGGTTTTTGTCCAGGCTGTCTTGAGCCCCGATGCCATGGGCTCGGTCAACGAGTACAGTAAGTCGGACTCTCAGCTGCTCCACAGACCGTTCGTAACTGATTTTACCGGTCACAGAACCGTTTGCGACTGACCTGAGTGGTGACCGTCTGTGACTGACCTCAGTGGTAACCGTCTGTGAGTGACCTCAGTGGTGGCCGCCTGCGACTGACCTCAGTGGTGACTGTCTTCAACTGACCTCGGTGGTGACCCTCTGTGACCGACCTCAGTGGTGGCCGTTCGCTGCTGACCTCAGCGATGACCGTCTGTGACTGACCTCAGTGGTGACCGTCTGCTGCTAACATCAGTAGTGACTGTCTTTGACTGACCTCAGGGATGACCCTCCGCGACTGGCCTCAGTGGTGACCGTCTGTGACTGACCTCAGTGGTGACCGTCTGCTGCTGCATCAGAAGTGACTGTCTTTGACTGATCTCAGGGATGACCCTCCGCGACTGACATCGATGGTGACTGTCTTTAACTGACCTCAGTGAATACCGTCTTTGACTGACCACGGTGGTGGCCATCCGCTGCTGACCTCAGGGGTCCTGTGCAGACCTGCAGCATCCCGATGCATGCCGCGTGTATGGGGCACGCCGGTCTGGGCCGTCCCCGGCCGCGGCGGCCGCCGATGCCGTGCCCGGAGCTACCGCTATTGAATTTCCCGATCGGGCCATCCTGAGTGCAGTCCGTCCAATTTTCCGCTCATCGGTTACATCTGGAGGCGGACAGAGCCGCTGCTCATGTCCCGACTCGGATGCGCCATAACTGGCCGATAAAGCGGGGCGCCGCCGCCGCCGCCGCCGCCGGCCGATGGCATCACGGCACGCCAGCGTCGTACCGGCGGCGGCGGCGGCGGCGCCCCCCCCCCCCCCGCGCTGTACCGGCGGGGAGCGGGAGAGGCGTACGTGACTCGCTCAGGGCGGTCGGCAGGAGGTTATGATGTCTTCTCGGTTGGCGAGGGTCCGGCTGGACGCACCTTTAGGGGAGGTGGAGGGGATGCGGCCAGACCTGACGGCGGGCGGGCGGCAGGCCGGAGCGGCGTGGCCACGGGCAGAGGCAATCACAGACGCGGTCGACATCGGTCCTGAAGGGGACGGGGAGCCGGCTGGGTGATTGTATAGTGGTGGAGGGGAGGCTTGCGTGCCTCTCATGATCGCCCTTATGTGTTTCGCTAATTGGTTTTGGGTGGTGTGTAAACATACATTAGACCTGGGGTATAAGGTGTCCGAGTTTGACGTGCCCTGATTGGCTGTGGCGAAAGTGGGGTCTATCCTACTCTCTTTGACATTAAGCCGGGCCAAATTGTTTTTGCATCCATTAATGCATTAGGCGCAGCCAATATCCAGGCTAGAGTGGCTCGTGAAAGCTATGTTTCTTAATGCGCAAGCATCGTTCTGGAAAAGGTTCGACGCTGTGGATGAGCACGTGATTTTTGTAGAGTTCCGAGGAATTTTGATGAAATCTTGTCCCCGGTTTCGGTGCTCGGGTGGTTTTGACCACTTCAGAATAAAATGCGCTGGTCATACAGTTTCTGGTCTAAATACAAACTTAACGGTTTAAATGGCCGTGATTCTAGAGCGCTGACAATTGTATTCCCACTGCACCCAATTTTCCTTTAACTTGAAAACATTGAGCTGGCGGAGTTGGCGGCCTGGCATAGCGTCTGGTGGGGCAGCAGTTCGGCTGACTGCGCGAATGTCGCTGCCGTCGGAGCGTATCGGGCGTTAGAACGGAAATCTCGTTCAGGGCCGGTGGTAAAGCGATAAAGCATTAGCATTTCTGTTGGTGTTTTCGTGTTTTAAGCAGTGTTGTGTGATTTGGGACTCGCATTCGACCCCGAGATAAACATAAGTAGAGCTAAAGCACTGAAACCACCCAGCGGCTTCGCTTCCAGACCTCCCTCACCATCACACGGGTGTCGGTTTGCCTCCAGACCCCTCTCACCATCGCACGGGTGTCGGTTTGCCTCCAGACCTCTCTCACTATCGCACGAATGTCGGTTTGCCTCCAGACCGCTCTCACCATCGCACAGGTATCGGTTTGTCTCCAGACCGCTCTCACCATCGCACGGGTGACGGTTTACCCTGCTCAGACCCATCGCCATAGGCAATGATGCCTTTGTTTTTACAGTGCTTCATTCGTTCTGTGAGACTAGCGAACGTTCTCCACTACACTGTGAATCACCATCTGTGAGCGTTCATCTGTCCATTTCCTGGCTTTCTGTGTGGTTACGGCCAGTCACAGACGGTAGCACTAGGACGCCTGGCCGGCCGGTGGACCACCATCTGACGCTAATTAGCTGTGCATATTTACTGTACGTGGGTCTGTGTTGCCCGGCCAAGGCGCTCTGGCCCGAGTGATTGAGTAAAATGAAAAGCACACAATATATTAGAAAATGAATTATAGACCCCGAAATGGCAAACCATTCCGGAGCCGGTAAGATAATAGAATTTTTGATTAGTTGGCTAATGGAAAGACGGAGCCATTCATCGATGTTTGATGCTGTTGTACGCTGGGCCGCGGCACAGTGATTGGCGGCAGTGCGCGGGTAAATTTCCCATCGGTCGCGCCGGCTGCCCGAGAACAAATGGGATTTATTCAGCATTAGTTGATTGCCTTGGCGTTATTGACAGCTGGTGTGATACCTGGCTGGTGTGGGCGGCGGCTCACCGGCGGCGATGGCCGGGCCAGGCCAGGGTGCGGCTGCCGCTGGGGCAGCCGGCCGGACCGGGTATCCCGTGTGAGCCAGTGGCCCCTCCCCGGCGCCCGCCCGAGCCGGCCGGCCCCGGCCCAGCTCCCAGCCCATGTCGAGCGGCGCCAGAGAATCGGCATCAGCACCGAACGCTGCTAATTACTCAGTCGAGTGGCGCTCGCGTCCGCTTGCAGGCTGCAGCCCGGCCTCCAATTAGCATGGGAAAACGGGCCATTAACGGTGCGGGCGCGGCGCCGGCGCCCGCTGCCGGGGCGGCCGGGCGGCGCGTGGCGGCCGCCGCGCGCGAGCCGCGTGACTACGCCGGCGCCCGCTGCCCGGGCGGCGCGTGGCGGCCGCCGCGCGCGCGCCGCGTGATTACGCCGGTACGCGCGGCTGATCATGGCGCCATTGTTTTCAGGACGCCGCCGTGGACATGCATAACAACAACAGCCAGTGCCTGAAGACGCGCAGCATGTCGGGAGGCCAGCTGCTCGGCGCCGGTCTCGACAGTGTCGGTAAGCGGCGAGCGGCGGTGCTGTGCGGCCAATTTGGCGGCGGGCCGGGGCCAGCTGCGGCCCGGCCGGCGGCGGCGGCGGCGGCGCCGGCCGGGGCCGCGCCCTGCCGGCGACGCCACCTGTGTCGGAGAGGGTGGTCTGAGCGGACGTCTGGCACGGGCTGCGACGGCATGGGATCTGTGATGGGGACGCGTTGTGGGTGCACGCTCCGGGTGAGGGGTGACCTCTGGCGGTGACGTCACCCACCTGAGCGGCGCCGGGTCTCCTGTCGCCAGTGCCGGATTATGCTGTGTCGTGCATCTCCTCTGCACCGCTCGTCCCCGTCCGTTCGTGACGGACTGCGGGCTCCGTTTGGGTCGGTGGCTTACATCCGGCCGTGATGTAATATCTTGCAGCAGCCATCTGCACGCTTTACGCTGCCTTTGCATCGGCCGCTGACAGAACTATAACTGTGCTGAAGCCCCGCACGAGGCGAGGTCCGGTCAGAGGCCTCCCAGTACAGTTAGAGTAAAGTCGATCAGTCTACATCAGCATGTAATTATCACAATCACCGATGTCACAACTTGTCAGTGCTTTGTCGCGACAAGGCAGTGACATATATGCGCTGCGTGGTTTTCGAGCTCGGACCCGGCACCTGAGGAGCGGCTGATCGCCGACCGCACCGCCGGCAGCCGGGGGGCGCACGTCAGTGGCGCCGGGCGGCGCCGGCGTCACGTCTGAGAGGCCCTGCCGCCCGTCGCGCCGGGGCCGGGGTCGGATTCGGCGGCCGCCGGAACCGGGGCTCCGTGGCGCCGCTCGGCGGATGTTTGTTGGCTGGCCGGCAACAGCCCGGCGGATGCGACCGAAAGCGCATGCAACAGACGAAATCGGCGCGGACGTGGCGACTATTGACGCAGAACGGGGGCCGAACGCGCCACCGGGCGCTGGTAACAGCGCCGGCGCGCGGAGTGGCTATTATGCAAATGGGCTCGCTGGCAACGCTCGGGATAGCTCTCAAGGCGCGAACGGTTTCGCGTGATCCATTTCTGTGCCGTGAACAGTATTTGCCGACGCTCTTATCCAAGGACGGCTCCGGTCAGCTACATCCACGCGAACGGCCAGCGTATGCAGATGCACTTATCCGCGCAGCCGTTGCGTTACGCTTGCAAGACGGACTCCTACTACAGATGGCCGCTTTGAGCACTGACCGGTACACACGTGATTTTGAGGTCAGCTGCGTGTTGACTAAGCATTCGCCGACTCGTCTCGCTGGTGAGCACGTGGCCGCCGGCGGGGAGGAGTCAGCGGGGCTCCGGTGAGAAGTGCCGGGCGCCGGCGGCCGCCGCCGCGCGAGGCCCTCAGACGGCCGACCGCCGCCCAGCGCCGCCGCCCAGCGTGCTGACAGGCCAGCACCGGAAGCGTATTAGCTCGATTGCCTCAAACCGCCGCCGCCGGAAAGTTGGCGGCGCCGGTGCTGTCCGCGGAGCCCCGGCCGTGGCCGGCAGCGCCGGCGAGTCGGCAGCGCGTGGCCGGCCAGCGCGGCGGCGGCCGTCTCTCCCGGCCCCGCCGCCGCGCCCGACCCTCTACGGCGGCGCGTGCCCTGCCCCGCGAGTCTCGGCCTCACCCCGCTGGCGGCTCTGGGACTGGCCACGTGGCGCGCGCCCGAAAACAATGCACCGAGCTCCCTGCACCGCCGCCGCCGTCGCGCCACCCTAATCCTGATCTTTCCGGAATTCATTCTTCATTGCGGGAAATTGGCCTGTCAAAATCTAATTTATCTTGAATGCTCGTTTATTTGTGGCTCTTTTATATTAATGGATATGAAATTTTATTCGCCAAATTGATGGAAGGGGGTAATAGATTCGGCCGCCGCGCTGCGGCAGCGGGCCAATTGCCTTGGTGGTAAGCACCGGCGCGCTGCATGCAACGGCAATGCAATTACGCCGGTTAGCGGCACGACGCCACGGCGCGAACGCCTCACTGCACGAGCTGCTGGTGACCTGCTGCCGGCTTCGGCAGAGCATGAAGTCTGCGATACGGTGAGCGCGGCGACATGGACCATCACTCGCAGGGACTTGTTGAAGATGGTGATCTCACTGTCGATGTGGTGTTCACGGTATGTCACGTAGTCGCGCCCATCGAGGCTTTGCAGGGTCGAGGCTCGTACGCTGGGGGTCAAGGCCAGCTTTCGAGCGCAGCGATAGGCTGTCATTGGCCGTGTGGTGTTGACCAACGCTACGGTGAGCGACAGGCGCAGTACTTCAAACCTCCGCGACACAACATTATAATGAGACGGCGTGCCGACATTCAAAACATGGTTCCATGCATGATGCTGTCGCAATGCCAACTGCATACGATCAAACGACATTAGTCGACGTTCTGTACTTTTTTCGTTCGCAGATATCCAGTCGCAAAATATGGGGTGTCAAATGCGTATTTGGTGATCATTCTTCTTCACACCGGCCTTGCCATTTCACCTGAGGACTACTCAGCAGTCTGTGGTAGTCTTCTTCTGATCACATCAGCTCCAACGATACACAGGGGTCTGGAATCCAGCTCCAGCTGTCCGGGCAGAAGCAGTGCTCTAATTGTCATCACCTCTCTTTTAGGACATCTGCATAAATCCTCTCCTTTTTCAAGTATGTTGTCCGAACCATTCGAAACGATGTATTTCTGGGATCAGGGATCACGCTAAGCATTGCGTGTTGCGCGACCGCTGACCCCCACCATCTGATCACGCAATGTCAGGTCAGCAGCAGAATTTGGTGGCGAAAGTTTAACGTACCACATTGCTTGGCACCGTTCACTCTACCCTCTGACATTACCTGACCTTTAGCGCGGCCGCTGCCACCGGCCGCAGACCATATCTGTCAGTGGGAAGTAGCGAACGCATAAAGCGACCCGAACCCATCCCGCCATGGGTGGGTGGATCGGAAGGTAAGCGCTCTTACCAACTGAGCTATCGGGACGGACGACAGCATTTCAGAGGCGTTGGCAACTGGCCAAATCCTCGAGGTGACAGAGAGCACTTACCTAAAGATTGCACGTACGTATACTTCCTGCCACGATCTTAGCTGCTTTTTGTTGCCTTCAGCCATAGGTCCTGGCAGTCATCCACCACCGCTTAACACGTTGCTCGGTAACAATCGGAATAAACATGAGCTTCCGAAAAGACCAACGTAACTGAGTTAAGTTCTCACGAATGCGGTGTTGTCAGTGCCTTTATCTTAAGATCGCGTAGCTAGCCGAAAACGAAGTGTCATGCCAGTGTCAGGCACCACAGTGTCAGGCACTGCATACCTAATATGTGTGGTGCCTTTCCTTCTCGCTACAATCCAAAAACCTCCATTGCCTTACTCCGGTAGTGTGTCGCAAGCACTCTTGCGTAACTGCGGTTCTTAAATCTTAGTTGTGCTAATTCCCTTTGTCTTCACTCGCCGTTCCCGAGTCCAGCCTTCAGTAACTGAGCTCACGAATGCAGAGGAAGAAAAACTCAGCCCCCTCCCCCTTCAACCCTCGCCGTATTTGTTTCATGCAAGATTTGGGCCATGTGACAAACGCTTGGCACGCGTGTGGAGCCGCGCAATTCCGGTCATGTCATCGAGTGCGCGGCTCCCTCATTGTCACAATCGAGACGTTTGCATGATACAGCAAGGCGATGCCCGTCCACTGGTACCCAGCTATCGAGCAACCTTCGGAGACAAGACATCCGATGGCATGCATCGTGAGCGTGAACATCGTGGGCATCTACTCCTGTGTTTCTATGTGCCGTCTTTGATGACAGTAAGCCCCACATGAAAACTCAGCGCGGGCCGCCCGAGCACTGGTGGGAATCTGTGTAACCCGGGTTTGTTTTGGGTATTGAGCGTTGCAAAACTGATTCGCCATCACTGCCGAAACCAGATTCGCCTGTTCCACGTAAGGCCATTTTAGGCCTGCCGGTACATTTGGCCACGCACATTTAGTCCTCGCCTGGCTCATGCGACTGTCGACCTTACGTGAGGGATCCTGCGGAGCACGCAGTGACACTGTGCGTATTGCTGCCAGCGGTTGACGGCATTGTCGGCGCTGGTCCACGGATAAGAGCGCGATGTCGATAGCCAATCCTCCATCCACAACTTTTAGATAAAAGCCAAAGGTGACACGGCTCAGGTGATCAGGTGATCAGCTGCTTCAAGTGTTCGTCCACAAAGCGCACCGGGTGACGATGGGGAGGAGCATAAGTTTAAAGAGAACGTTAAGATGTGCTGTTTTGAGCTGTTTGAATACTGGGGGGACGAGGGGGACCTTGACAGGCTTGGAAGAGTGCGGGGGCGGATCTAGCCTGGATTTTTTTTTGGGGGGGGGGCAGCCGTTCGTCTCGTTCGTCGCGTAGTTAAAACAGACGGTAAGTAGACGAAACTTTTATGAAGTTCTGGGAATGTTTTGGGGGGGCCAAAACATACGCTCAGAGTTTTTGGGGGGCCATGACCCCGTGACCCCCCCCCCAGGATCCGCCTATGGAAGAGTGAGTTCACCACCTCACAGGCCGGCAGGCGTCAGTCATGAGCCATGCCATATTGATGTGAGAGCTGGCTCGGCCTCACTCGCGGTGCGGCTTGAGCCAGGCGCAGCGCGGCTCTGAACCCGACACCTGAACCCGCACCGACACTGAACCCGACACCCACACCCTACCAACGCGCTGAAACCGACATCTTAACCCCCGCCGACACACCGAACCCGACACTCGACACTGGGCCTTGCTCCGAATGCGCGGAGGCCCCACAGGGCACGGGCTGAGCATGAGCGCGGGGCGCCGCATGCTGCGGTGGGTTGGACGTGAGCTCGGCGGCGAGTCAGGCCGCCTCCGTGATGACGCGACGCCGCGACGGGTGACGCCGTGTGACCAACGTGGTCGGCGCGACCGATGCCGAGGCCGCGGCTGGCCGACGCGACTCACGACCGATGCCGAGCCACGGCCAGCCGACGTAACTCACGACCGATGCCGAGCCACGGCCAGCCGACGTGACCCACAACCGATG